ACTACATAGCTAGCTAGCCACCACATAGCTAGCTAGCCACTAAATAGCCAGCTAGCTAGCCACCACGTAGCTAGCCAGCTAGCTAGCCAGCTAGCTAGCCACTACATAGGTAGCTAGCCAGCTAGCCAGCTAGCTAGCTAGCTAGCTAGCTAGCTAGCTAGCCAGATGGGTGTTGTGTGCAGCGAAGAATTTGATTCTGGCGGGCCCCAAAGTGGTGGGCCTTCATGACCCCACGCCAGTTAGAGGCAGAGACTTGGGTCTGTCTTTTTATTTATTTTAATTCATTTTAATTTATTTTTATTTGTTTGTTATTTATTCATTTATTTATTCATTTATTTATTATTTATTGTTTATATATTAGTTGTTTATTTATTTATTATTTGTTTCCTTAGTTGTTTATTTGTGTGTTTATTTATTTGTTTATTTACTTGGTTATTTACTTATTTATTTGTTGATTTGTTTACTTATTTTTTATTATTTATTTATTTATTCATTATTTGTTTATTTATTTGTTTAGTGATTTGTTTATTTTAATTAATTAGTTTATTCCTTTGTTTACTTTACTTAATAAGTTGGCTTACTTGTTTATTTGTTTATTTGTTTTATATAATTAATTGGTTATTTATTTTTCTTTTATTTGATTTATTGGTTTCGCTTATTTATTTATGTATTTATGTATTTATTATTTATTTATTTTTTATTTATTTATTTATTTATTTGCTTTCTGTCTTTTTTGTCTTTCTTTTGTCCATTTTATTTCCATATCATTTCTCTTTTATTTCCATTTTTTTGATTTCTTTTTTACCTCCATTTTATTTCTATTTGTCTCTCTTTTTATTTCCATTTTGTTTCTTTTTATTTCCCATTTTTGTCTTTTTGTGTTTTTTTAGTTTTTGGATTTTTGGTTTTTGTTTGTTTCCTTCTAACTCTTTTAGACTTGATTTTAGTCCATTTGGAGCTTGCGAGTGTGCCAAACCGTCGAGATATTCCCCCTCTCTGGAAACCCTAATTTAGGGTTTAGGGTTTGCGTGGGGTTTGCAGGCAGCAACTTCGCACTAAGCGCTGCTTCCATAGGCAAATCGAGAGCTGCTGCTTCTTTGCCTTACTTGGCGGGATTAAATCAATATGTGCATGTGCAAGAAGAGAAGGAGGAGCAGCTCTCGGAGGTCCTAACCCTAAACCCTAAACCCTAAACCCTAGACGCAAAACCGTAGAGGGCCCTGGGCGTTAGCGGGAGTGCGGCGTGGTGCGGCGCGCAAAACGCTGATTCAGCGTTTAGCAGCATGCATGCAGCTGCCGATGGTGGTCAGCGACCTCCGCGTAGCTGCGCGCGTAGCTCCGCCCCGCAAACCCTAAATTAGGGTTTAGGGTTTTGCGGCCGCGCTGCCGATCCCTCCCGCTCCCTCCCGCTCCCCCGCCGCCGCAGCCCCACGCTGCAGCCCCACGCTGCAGGGCTCCGGGTTTAGGGTTTAGGGTTTAGGGTTTAGGGTTTAGGGTTTAGGGTTTAGGGTTTAGGGTTTGCGCGCAGGCCACCGTGTCGCAGTACGGGTGCGTGGTGGTGTGCGGGGGTTTGCTGCGGGAGCTGCTGCGGCTGAACGCGCTCTGCAGGCAGCTGAGGGTTTGCTTCCTCTGCTGCTGCAGCGCGGGACTTTGCATGCAAGTTTTCGCAGACTTCGGCAGCAACTTCGAAGTGCTGGACCCCACAGGCGAGGAGCCGCGGGAGGCGCTGGTTGCTGCAGTGAGCAGCAGCAGCAGAGCTGAGGTGTACGTACACCCGGACCGCCCGCTGCCCTTCCAGGACGGCGACCTGGTGGTTTTCCGCGAAGTGCTGGGCATGCAGAACTTGAATTTCGAAGCTCCCAAAAGGATTAAAGTTTCCGGAAAAAGATCTTTTTGCATCGATTTAAACACTCTTTCTTTTCCGCCCTACGAGGGGGGGGGGGTTGTGCGCCAGGTGAAGGAGCCGCAGCTCATTTGCTGCCGCAGCCTGCAGCAGAGCCTCCGCCGCCCGGCCCCGCTGCAGCAGCAGCAGCAGCAGCAGCAGCAGCAGCAGCAGCAGCAGCAGCTGCTCGTCGCGGACCTCGCCAAGCTCGACGGCGCCAACCAGCTCCACTTCGCCTTCATGGGGCTGCTGCTGCTGCTGCAGGAGAGGGAAGGCAGGCAGCCGCCGCACCCCGTTCTTTACTCCCGAACTGCTGCAGCAAGAAACCCTGCTGCTGCTGCTGCTGCCAAGCAGGAAGCAGACGCCTGCGTCCAGCGCGCCATCCAACTCGCCCAGCAGTTCCTCCAGGAATGCAAGGACCTCCAAAACCCCAGCAGCAGCAGCAGCAGCAACCCGCAGCAGCAAGACAACGAGCAGCAGCAGCAGCAGCAGCAGCAGCAGGAGGGGGAGGGGGCCGAGGGCGTGGTGACCGTGGAGCAGCTGGACGAGCAGCTGGTTGAACACGTGGTGCGCTGCTGCTGCTGCTGCTTGTCTCCAATTGCTTCCTTTTGTGGCGGAGTTTTGGCACAAGAAGTTTTGAAAGTTACAGGAAAGTTCATGCCTTTGAAAGGGTTTTTGTATGTGGACGCGCTGGAGGCGCTGCCGCTGCCGGAGTTTGCTGCTGCGGCGCCGCAGCAGCAGCACGCAGCAGCGGCAGCAGCAGCAGCGGCGGCGGCGGCGCAGCACCCGGACCTCCTCGACTGGCCAGCAGCAGACCAAGTCGGAGTCTTCGGAGAGCTGCTGCAGCACAAGCTGCAGCAGCTAAAAGTCTTCATCGTCGGCGCGGGGGCTTTGGGCTGCGAGCTGCTCAAGCTGGTGGCTTTGATGGGAGTTGCTGCTGAGGGGCAGCAGCAGCAGCAGCAGCAGCAGCAGCAGCAGCAGGCTGCTGCTGCGGGCGGCAGAGCAGCAGCAGCGGACGGGGAGGACGCTGCTGCAGCAGCGGCGGCGGCGGGGGAGAAGGACGCCGCGGACCCCGCAGCAGCAGCAGCAGCAGCAGCAGCAGCAACAGCAGCAGCAGCAAAACGAGGCTGCGTCACCATCACGGATCAAGACAGAATTGAAATTTCAAATTTAAATCGACAATTTCTTTTCAGAAGAGAACATGTGGGAATGTCCAAAAGCAGCTGCGCAGCAAAAGCAGCGAGAATCATGAACCCGAGA